CCATGGCTTACTACACTGTGACAACACCATTGAGGACCATAGTCACTGCTTCACATATTGTGAACTGTGCATACCCTCGCCCACATTCATCGACTTCAACCCATACGAGTTTGGCCAACTCACAAATTCCATTTCGTTTACAGTCTACTTGCCTTCGCCTATACTGACTTGTGTGCTGGGCTGTGCCGTCTTATATACTCTACTCATCAACTCTAACTGTTCCACGTGATATACGCGCTGCATGAACTTCCAGCTCAACACTCGTGCCTGTCGTCCCCTGTCATCACTCTTACGACCTGCACATCACCAAGTAGTTGCAGATGAGGGGACCACCAAAGAGCCGGTAATTAAAGCCAATATCAATGTCGGGGTGAATATTGGTGTCAACGTAGACGATTGCAATGAATATATTGTCTATTTTCCATGCCAAAGTAGTCAGCCGTGATGCACTGACCGAACTGTTCACACTACGACGCACTTTGGATGTAAATCGCCTTTTCAACGATCATTTGTCCGATGACATAGTAATTTTTGGTAATTACAGAGGGCCAAATGAATTCAGTGGTTCAGCCCCTCTATCTGATGCTATCGCCACATTCCACATTCCACACGCATTGATATCCAACCAGGATATATCATTTAGTGATCCATTCTGTGCATTTTTACCGACACATGTTAGACAATTTCGAGGTGACTAATTCTGACATCACTTCAGTTGTTTTTGCTTGAATTGCAGGGCACAAAATGCACCGTTTACGGAGGGATACTTAAATATTTCCCTAGCTTGTAACACTCAAGCAGGAGGTAACAAAATCCCTCAATAAAACATCAAAAGTGATGTTTTCCTGGTGAAAACTGACCATATGGAGATCACAACTAATGTATTCAAGAGGTGCGATTCTATCGACACTTGTGATAGCTAGTTGGATCTCTACTCCCCTGATAGTCACCTCCACCATGCTACGCTGACTAGTAAAGATGATTATCCCACTTGAATCTACGCGGAACAGGAGTTGCTGGCTCGTGTTTATCCCCTTTCACAGGAACCAGAAGTCCACGAAACGCAGCTCTCTCTATGACTAAGGACATGTTTAACTCTATTTACCTCGCGACGCATTCGCCGAGGACTTTGTTAGTAGTGTTTTAATATGCTCTCGCTTCTTCGACAGTCATTATGGGTCAGCGAAGTGTTATTACTTTCTCGTTTATTCTTATGCGATAGTAGGGTTAGAGGCTGTTCCACTCCACCTTCAATATGG